TATATATATATATATATATATATATATTACATCAGAAATTTCAGAAAAAAATAAAAAAGTTAAATTCAGAATTACAGGAAACGCTAGTCTATATCTAAAGAAATTTGTTTCTTGAAATTTGAAGGTTAAAATTTTTATATCATAAATTAAAATAAAAATGGAGAAAAAAGATCATTTAGAAGCTCATCTATTTCTTTGAAGAAATCATAGGCTAAGATACTGTGCTATGATTGCTCTTACACTGTATCAGCATCAGTGAATCTCAATACATGAACACATTCATTTCTTGAAAATGCAGTTTAATTTTTTTCCTTTAACTCGATTATTCTTTTCGGCCTTACAATTTTACGATCAATATATATATATATATATGTATATATATATATATATGTATATATATTGAACTGTACTTCTCGATCATTACATTATCTATTGATTATTATTTTTTGATTTGAACAGGTCAAATTAACTCTTTTGTTTTGAAGCTCTCACCTAATGTCACCTTGCAACTAGACTGTGCAAAGATGGTGCATGCTTGACGCATCAATCTTAAAACAGTTGGCACCAATAGCCTTGGATGTTAGCCTAAAGCGACCACAGCTCGGCTGCTTTACTATATCTCTCTTCATCCTTATATTTAAGACTCTATCTCTCTCCTCATCTGCTACACAGAGAGAGAGAGAGAGAGACTAGGGATACCTATATATATATTTATATATGGAGTGTAGGGCAGCGAGGGAGAGATAGAGAGAGAGAGATAGAGTGCCTTGGTCTTGCAGAAAGCAAAGTAGGACCAGATTCCTTCAGTCATATGGACCCATAAACAAATGTTGGGGTATTGAGGGTGTTTAGGGCACTTCAACTTTTATTTTTGCCTTTGGTGTCTTGCTATTTCTGACTCATGTGTGCTCTCTTTTCATTCTCTCTCTTCTTTTTCTGTTTTCTTCTTCAAATTGTTTCTTCGTTTCACTTCATGTAGTCCTCTATGACTGGCTTCAGGTCTTAGGTTTTTCTAACGAGTACTTGAGAGTGCGTGGGTTTTAGTGTGATTTGAGCTTCTTTCTATTCAATATGCTCCCTCTCTCTCTCTCTCTCTCTCTCCTTCCCTTACATTATATACTTACATGTGTACACTGAACTGTCCCATATATGCAGAAATTTGACAGCCCTAACAATTACAAAGAAGATAGATTAAAGCGATCATTTGATTCAAGTCAGCCAATAGACCACTTAAATTTCACAACTTCCCCAAGTGCAGTGTTAAGTTTTTTGGTACCTTTTAACTCAGCTAGATATATATATATATATATATATATATATTATAATGGTTACAATGCCCAAAAGCTAGCTAGATGGCTTATCATTGTAATCGTCATATAACTAGTGTTATATAGTTAATTCAGTTGATTTAACTTGAGAAGAAATGACTGCATCTTAATTACATGAGAAACAATTCGAAAAATCTAATGTAAAGATAAAGTAAATATAGTAAAGTTCCATATCATTAATACCATGCATTAAGTCTCGCTCGAATTCATAATAATTAACTCGATTGACAACATATTACAAAATAACATAAAATAAACGCGCGCGCGTATGTATGTATGAACACTATAAGCATATGCCAAAAGAAATATACAGAGAAAAGACGATCTAAAAATAAATGAACTCATCATAAGCAAAACCAAAATCTCAGAATATAAAATAATTAAATTTGAACAATGCGATATATTGGCGAAACTAAAGACAACGAAACCACAAAATTATAAACAGTTGTGTGTCGAAACACAAAAAATCATCTTGTAATTATTACAGAAAGATGTATTAATCTCTTGCAAAAAAAAAAAAAAGTGATTAATTATGTTTAATTAACACGTAGAATACCATCATCATGATCTTCTTAGAGCAAAAAAGTAAATAAGATAATAAAGCAAATAAAGGAGAAACACATGCATCAACTCTTCTTAGTTTCTCATAAGTACCATGCATTAATTAGTGTTTTCTTCGAATTCAGATAACCAAATTAAACAACCACCCAATTTATGTCATCATACTACAAGCTAGACATAAACATAAAGAAAGAAAATACACCAACCCATATTGATTAAGAAAAAAAAAACCAAAAAAGCAAAATTAGAACTGAAAAGAAAATAGAAACCTACCAAATCTAGTAGCTATATATCCATCATATATCTCCCCATCAAATGTAGACTCTTTCTCTCCATAAATTTTTTTCTTGTTTGAAGCCGTCTCAAAAGTCAAGCTCCCCAATTCCTTGCTCCATACCGTTACAGCTCTGATTAACGTCAGCATGAACTCATGATTGATCAATCAATCAGCTCTCACAACAAATTTCCAGCAGAAGAAGAACTGAAACCAGAAACATGTTCGCCACTAATCCATCTACCTCCTTGATCTTCTCCACCGCCGCTAACAGGCCAAATCTGTCCGTCGTTTCTCCCCATGCTGAAGAATTGCCTCGGCATGTTAGCAGCAGTAGTTGTGACAGCTTGAGAGCTCTCTTCCATCTTCACTGTCGACATGATCATCTTTCCATGTCCGCCAACTAGTTCCCCTTCTAAAGGATAGAGCCCCGGAACCATAGTCCCCGTTGGCACAGATAACTCGGCCAGTCCTCCTAAGAAAGGGAACTGTTGGATTTGTTGAATCCTCCACTGCTCCAATCCCATGCTCTCCATCGTCGTGTCGATCGGCTGTTGGAGTCCGTAATCAGGCAGATGGTTCCACGGAGCGAGGAATGGTGGTGGGGCTGTTCGGAACACCCCGGCCAAGGAGGTGGAAGAGGAAGCAGATGGAGCAACAAGGTATGATGATGATGATGTTGATGTTGATGTTGATGTTTTAGAGGAAGAGGGCTTGTTACCTCGTTTGTTCCGGCGACAGCCGCCGCCTACCGGGACGCTGCGGAGAGCACCACCGCGAGTCCAATAGCGGCGGCAAGTCTTGCAAAAGTGACGAGGTTGGGTGAGAGAGTAGTTGTTAAAGTAGCAAAATTTGGTGTTGGTGGAGTCGCAGCGGGGGCACTTGAGGGCGGCTTCAGCTTGTGGGATTTTAGCAAGTCGAGCCCTTTCGGCGGTGGATACAACAGCTACGGGGCGGCAGGTGCTTCCTCCAGCTGATACTTGGTGTGGTGCAGAGGCAGAAGAGGTAGCCACCGGTTGCGGGAGGGCATGAACATGATCGGATTCATCGACGGTGATGTCGGTTGATCCTCCCTGCTGAAAGGAAGAGAGAGATGTACATGACTTCTGAAAATTTTGTTTTGATGGATGGATGAAAAGGTGAGGGATATTGTATGAGAGAATATTTGTAGCTTTTGTGAGTATTGTTCTTTATGTGATGAAGAAGCTGAGGAAGGGGGAGAAAGAGGAGAGATTAGGGATTACCTGGTTCCAGTTGGGTGGATCTGGATAGAGATGAACTGATGAGAAGACCATGGTTGGCTGGTAATTGGTTGGTTTTCTTTCCACACTTCGATCTCTCCTGCTGTTGTCTTTTTCTCTTTTTTTTTTTTTTTTTTTTTTTTTTTTGGCAAAAGTTTAATTGATGTGCTTGTGGGGATGGTGGAGAATCAATCCTCCTTCAAGAATGAAGGGGGGAGGGAGAGAGAGAGAGGGGGAAAGGAAGAAGAGAAGAGTGAGAGAAAGCGAGAGAAGAGGAAAGGAAAAGGAGGATACTAATCTCTTTTGCTTTGGGGTGAGCTAGCTTTTATATTTTTAAGGATGAGAGAGGTGCATTCCTTAGCCTTTAAGACAATGATCATGGCTTGGTTGCTCAGTCTCAGTGGTTGCTGCTTATTATGCCTTAATGGTGGATATAAAGTTAATAATTTTTAATTTAATGATGCAAGCTACAAAACAAAGGAGTAAAATTATGCTTAGGGACGAGGTCTTCATCATTCCATAGAGGAGTAATTTTGCCTCTTAATGATTTCTGTTGGGCTGTTTAATTTATTATATGTGCATTAATATTATTTTATAGGTTTAATTGACTCATTTTGGCTAATTTTATTAGCCCATTTAATGTATAAATTCATATTTATTTAATATATTGAAAAAGAGGATTTATAATATCTGTTGTAAAGAGAAAAGTAAAAGAGAATAATTTTTTTAATGTAAGAGAGTAAAAATAGCACTCCTAAATTTTAGTAGCTTATTTTGCTTTACTTCTAGGTTGCTTTATTGTTCTAATTTGTAGGGTTCAGGTAATTTGGCAAATAAATGTATTGACTTAGTTTATTGGTCCATATTTGTAGAACTGTACTTGAAATATTAGGTTTTTCTACACAAAAAAAAAAAAAAAAAAAAAAAAAAAAAAAAATCACTGGGGTAATAAATTCTTATGTTAAATTGGATTTAATAGTTATAAAGCTTAGAACAAGTGCCTGCTTATATCATAATTTTCATAATAAAATCACAAAAAAAAAGTACAATTTAATTTGGATGGATTTTTTTCCTTTTTTTTCTATTTAATATTAGTGTACATAAAAAACGTATCGACACTTAAGACTACGAAGAAGAAGGTCCCACTGACAGAAGACCATGGGCCACTTGTCATATCAAGTGAAGTTGTTCGAGCCAAAACCAATAAGATCAAAGCTGAACAAACCACAAAATAGATCAAAGATGGTCGGAGGATACTAAGAACAAGCCATTTCATACGAAAATGAGTCAAAAGGACATCCAAACCAATCATCTTAGTAGAGTCGATTCAAGGAATATCCAGTTCCCTACGATCTCCAACGATCCCAATGACCCTCAAAGACTTATCATCATGGATCAAGGATTGATAACCAATTAAGGTCAGCCGACTGACCCAATCCATACAGAACAATCTTAGATGACCAATCAGATCTAAACAGATCCACTGGGCCAATCTTGTCATCACGAAGCCAATTAAGTATAGTTAACCAATCCAGAAAGCAGTTGAATGACATACTTACCAATGTAAAATACCAAAAATTTCCAATAACGGACCCCCTTTAAAGTAGGAGCACAAATATAAAATCACTATATTGTACAATCTCCCATATAAATATGGAGATTATTTTACTCCATTATATAAGTCTCTCTCTCTCTCCTTACATACACTCCATATATTCCTTGGGTGTGTTCACAAACAAATCAAGATTCAACAAGTAGGATGATTTTTTTAAATATATTGTAGATTTATAAATGTGAATGATCTCAATGAGATGCATGTAGTTCTTTTCTATTTTATAGTTGTTGTCTGTCGGGACATTTGCAGCAGTGGAGTAATTAATTAGTGTCATAACATTGTACAAAGACCCAACACAAACATAAATAAAAGAAGATAAGTACACAAAATGAGACATCTCAATTTTTACGAAAAAAAAAACATGGAAAAAAGAGAAAACCACGGTCCTAGTCCAATTGAAATAATCCACTATGAATTGTGAGTACACAGATCTACTTTTCTCTTGAATTAAGAAAAACAGAATTACAAATAAAGTTGATTATTGTAAATCTACAACTTTAGTTCATTGATAACAATTGTAGTCTGGTTGTAATGAATATAATTATCAATGATAGTATGTTACAAAGGACGTAGTCGTTTGCAATTGAGGCAGTAGTCGGCCATGAATTAATGTTGTGGACGATGGTTGTAGCGTCACCTTGTCATATATAGGGGTGTAAACGAACCGAACACGAATGAACAGAGCTTGTGTTCGTGTTGTGTTCGTTTGAAATTTATTTTGTTTGAAATAAGCTCGTGTTCGAAATTGTTCGTGAAGTCACTGGCAGAACACGAGTTGTTCGCTATCGACGAGCCAGTTTGACATCCCTAATATATATATATATAAATAATATGTTATATTAATTATATGACTTATATTTTATAAATATATAATATCTATACAAATATCATAATTTTTTTATATATAATTATTTTAAATTATTTTATATTTCGAACAATAACGATTTGAACACGAATGAACGCATTACTGTTCGTGTTTGGTTCGTTTAACTAACCGAATGAAAAAGAAAATTGCACGTTTGTCTCGTTTACTTATCGAGCATGAATTCATTGATCAACTGAACACGAACTGTTTGCGAACAACGAGCTTTTTTGATAGCCCTAGTCATATAGGTCATACGTAGTTGAAAGCCATAATAATAGTTGGTTGTGTGATTTACAAATTGTTGTTTCAAGAGTGTTGGCAACCTTCAAATTTGGATATCATAAGTAATTATATTAATCGAGAGTTTTCCTTAGGGCTCACGACTCTAGAGATACAATGCACTATGAGAGATGCCAAAATAAAATAAACCTTATCTTTTACATGTAAGATAAGGAGAAAAATCTGGTGACTTATGAAGGTCTTCATCATTCAGATGATTAGATACATTTTAAGGTAGTATTTTCTTCCCCCATAAGGTATAATATTCTTTAAATTTCATGCTCGGTCATTTAGATAAAAGTATCCCAAAAGTTCTATGATGTGTGACAACACAATATCCCCCACCACTAGCGGGTTGGGCTGATAGTTTTCCATGGCAGACCTACCCAAGCCATCGTTGGTCTGTGGTCCCGAGTTGTTGGGCTGACAGGGCCAGCACGCTGGCCCAAAGAAGCGGTTGTGCAGTTTGCTACGTGAGGAACTCGAGGAGCTCAGATCAAATGAATGAATTCATGTGACACATTTTAGGTTTTGGATTAGAAACTGAGTGTAGGTTGTGGGATACAGGGTCTAGATCAGACAGTTTGGATGGGGTGATTGATCCAGGTGTTTGGGTCAAGCAAAAATAGGCAAGTTTTGGGCCTGAAATAGGTAAGATTTAGACCCATTGGCGACTTAAGTGGGGTAGGATTTAAGTCAGGTGGAGAAGGAGACCCATGAGGAGAATGGGGGGGGGTAAGTGAAAGAAGAGTTCTCTTAAAAAGAGTGATCTTCTTTTTGAGAAGAGTTCTCTTAAAAAGAGTGATCTTGGGCAAGTGAAAGAAGACAGAAGTCCAAAAAGGAGCCAAGGAGGAGCAAAAGAAGTGAAAGAAAGAGATCAAAGGGTGATCCCAAGCCCAATGGGGAGATAAGTTCAAGAAGGTGAAGAAAAAAGGAGAAGAAGACTCGAGGGGGAGCAAGTTGGAGATCTTCTTAAAAAAGTGAAGAAGAAGAGTTGAAGTTTGAAGAAGTGAAGAAGAAGAGTTGAAGTCTCCCGCCTTGCGTTTTAGTGAGATTCTTCGTGAAAATAAAGTGGAGCTTTCCAGTCACGGATTCCAGATGAGATGAGGAAAAGTTGGAGTTCTCTCATCGTGCATTCCAGAGGAGATTCCCGTGTTGCTTAGATTCTGATATCTAGAGAATCATGCCCCTTTGAAAATCGATGAAAGCACCATAATTTCGAGGGCTTGAATATTGATCGCATCTTTTAAGAACACAATAAAAAGAATAACCCGTGTGATTGACACATTGTCGTTGGTGAATCAGTTGGTAAAGTGTCATGATGACTTACCTTGAATGGCGATTTTCCTCTCCTAGCAATACCAAGAACTGATGGATGCTGAGAAGAATTGAAGGAGACACGATCTAACCCTAATCTGAGTGCAGACACATTGCAAGCCCTTTATATTTTAATTTTGATTTATTTTAATTGATATTTGATTTCGTCCCTGTCTTTTTTAAGTTTTGATTTCACCACTGCCCTTAATTAAAAATTAAAAAAAAAAAACACAAAATGCACCAACAAATTTAGATCAGAAAACCTTAACTAAATTTCGATCAAAATGATTTTTGGAGCCATCGAATTTATTTTGACATAATTATAACACACGAAAAATTAATCCAACTGTGAATTCCACTAATCTCAAAGTACCTAGTTCTACCAGCTTCGGGACACATTCTAATCAGTTATAATATCTTTAGACATTTTTGTCTTGTAAAAACATACAATTCTTTCTTTCCACTCATCAAATCATCTCACTTTTTTCCCTACTATATAACATATCAAAATTAAAAAAAAAAAAAAAAAAATCTTAACTATATACATACATTAGAACTATGCATACATACCACACAATTCTTAGGCATAGTTGTGGTATATTGAAATAGAACGATCGACGGTGAAGTGAAAAATAGAACAATAAAATTCACACGAAAAGAACACACAGATTTTACGTGGTTCAATAAATTTTTGCCTACATTCACGGAGTTGCAGAGGATTTTATTAATTAAGGAAACTACATCATCTCGATAATTACAAGAAAGATTTCTATCTACAAATCACAGAGAGGATCACTTACGATTCTTCCTTCTTACTGCAGTAAGCCAACACCGAAGAAGAAGGTCGAACTGGAGATGCCTTGCAATTCCAATCCAATCGGAAATTGGATTTAATCCCTTCTACTTCATGCGTAAGCCACAGGCGAAGTCACACATTCTTTTCTCACGTCGCACGGGAGATTTAAACGAAGGCAGAAGAAGTTTGAGAGAGCAGAACCTTGCGTTTTCTTCCTGCTT